ATTATTATTATTATTATTATTATTATTATTATTATTATTATTATTAAACTTTGAGTAGGGGCTAAGGAAATGGTTTAAAAATTGATGAGAGGTTTGATTGAGGAAGCCCTGCCAGTGTCGGGGCAAATAAAAGCTGCCAAACCAAAATCTTTGGAAGCAAAAAGTAAAGAAGCTTTATTGGCTTATTATTTTATTTATTTATTTATTCATCACTATATATTAATTCAAAACGTGTTGAACTTAAGTGATAAATTCTCACGCTTCGAATGCTGACATAGTGAAAATCTATGCTTCGTGATGTTGTTTTTATATTATTTTTGTTCTGGAATTAGATTTGGTATTAGACATAAATATTTTACACATATATTTATTAACTTAATACCAATATTGTACATGAGTGGTAGTACGAGAGCTAATTATCAAATGGTCGCCCATAACTCGAGAGTCAATTTCCAATAATGTCTTTAGCCCCAACCTACTTTCTTTATAATTTTATTTTATATATAATATATATATATATTTTTTTATTTCTACTCTCTAATCTCTATCACGCAAAGGGACACTAGTCCACTGGGCACGGGCCATATCATTAATCCCACTACTCGATGCCATGCGCCACACATAATAATAATAATAATAATAATAATAATAATAATAATAATAATAATAATGTGTATCGACTATCGAGTTGGAAACTTAGGTTTGAAAAGATTTCATTTTCTTGTAGTGAGTTGACTTGACTTAAATAAAGTTCGTTTAGTAATCGAGGTTGGCTACTCAATCTTGATAAAATAAATTTTTTTATGTAATTTTTAAAATTTTCATCATATATCAGCTTGTTAGCAAATTAAGATCGAACTTGTTTATGAGCTGGTTAAATTAGGCTTGGCTCAACTTGAGATCTGGCTCGAGCTCAAGCATCAGGAGCTTCAACTCTATCAGACTCGTTCGCAGCTCCAACTCATTCCATAAACTAATTGAAGAAAAATATACATATTAGTTGGCTCGATTATTATTGTTATTAGATCTTAAAAAATATAATTAAATACATTAAAAAAGAGGACATGTGTATGTTAAACATTGTTATAACCACTTATTGTTGAACATACATGCACAAATTCAACAAGCTATTTGGGAAAGCAACTTTTAGAACATTTTTGTGCCAAGCATACTAATATAGTCTTAGTAACCATGACTTAGAAAAATTAAGCAACCAAAAAGTCCCTTTCTTACATTGTGAAGAAATATGGACTGGTCCTGGGCTTTGGGGTGGTCCCAAATCAAAGTAAAATGGACAAAATTTTCAAAAAGAAAAGCAACTTCAGATGAGAAATCACTCACAATTATGGGGTACACCCAAACTTTCTCCTTGATTGTTTGAAGGACTTATTAGTAACTGTAAAAGGCCTTCATATCATAATAAGATTTAAATAAAAGTACATACTTATGTTGCGCAATGACTTACTATGTTATCGAAAATTTTCGATTGAGTAACAATTAGACTTGCCTAACAGAAGTCAGTCTTACCATAAAATTTAATATTCACGCTCTTAAATTAACAACATTCCTAACTCTTGGAGGTTTGAAAGGGTCGCCACATGATGCACATTCAAGAAAATCACGTCTACTAAAAATTGAATACTTATACTATCAAATATCATATTTGTATTTTTTTTTTTTTTCTAAAGTA